GTTATAAATGGGGTTATAAGTCCCTTAATATGGGTTACAATATTATAATTATAGCTACCCTACCTATAACTCTACTTATAACTACCTATGAACCTCCAAGTAAGCCAGCTCCAGTCAACATGTGCAAAGTTCTCCAGGAGCTGGCACCGATGGAGCCTGGCTCCACAGACCAGCTCCTGTCCGGCTTTTAGGTCTAGGGTTTTGGGTTTAGGGTTCCCTAAACCCTAAACCCTAAACCCTAAACCCGGCTTTTGGGTCCAGGGTTTAGTTAGGTTTCAGGAAGGTGCAGGGTTTGGAGTTTCGGGTTCTAGGGTTTACGTGTTTAGGGTGAGGGTTTCGGAAGACTTACGTAGTAGGGTATCGGGCCCTAAGAGCTGAAGTTGAGGGTTTAGGGTTTAGGGTTTAGGGTTTAGGGTTTGAGGGCGGCAGTGCGAAACCCCTTCTGGCAGGTGGGTGTACTGACGAGAAGGTATTGCGAGGAAACTGGCCAGTCTCAAGCAGGGTCTGGTTACTCGCATCTTTAGTTGGGGCTCTGGGATTTTGGGAGCTTGGCAGTTGAGGGTTTTAGGCTTTGAGGGTTAAGAAGTTGTCGGGTTCAGGTGGTACTTCTGCATGCAGTGTATCCGCATTGGAGGCTAGATGATTTTCCTGGCACTTGCACGCACTAAACCCGCCCAAGACTGAAAACCATGAACTCCTCTGTGGAGGTGGTAGTTGTCCTTGAACCATGCAGCCAAGCCCTCAGCCGTAAGCCCTCCTAAACCCTAAACCTAAAACCCTGAACCCTAAACCCAAAACCCTAAAACCTAAACAAATCCTCTGACACCTCAAAGAAGTGCTGCCTGAGGCTCGCAGGCTCTGCCAAAATGCCGATGCCCATCCGTGGCGCCATCATCGCAGAGGGTGGAGCACTGACGCGGGAGCGGCTCGCCACGCTTTGGACTTGGGGCCTGGTGTGGCTTCTCAAACGGGGACGCACAACACCAACACACACACACACACACACACACGCACACTTTCAGTTGTCCCCCAAGCTTCAACCCAGTGTTCTTCTGTTGGCAATCAATTAATCAGAGTTTTCGGCTACCTGTCGTTCTTGCAAGCACATCGTAGGACCTTCCGCAACCACTTGCTGATGCGCGCTGCATGCTAGATTTGTTGCAAGACCCGTCGAGGCTTGCATGTTCAACGCTCTTTTTCGTAGCATATGGGGCTACGCGACTTGTGCCAGGGCTTAATAAAGTTGAGAAGAAGTCGAGTATGTTTGCTCAGTCACCATGGTAGTACTGGTGGCTCTTTAAAGGTGCGTTTTCGGATCCACGTCGTTGGCCTGAAGCCCGTCGCGGCAAATTTCCTAAACCTTAAACCTCTGGGAAAAACTCTAGGGCTTAGGGGTTTATAGGGTCTAGGGTTTACGGTTTCGGTAAACTCTTCTCCCCAAGTTCCAGTAGCTCCACGGCCCTTTCGCAACGTTCGGACCAAAAAGGTACCGCTACATCCAGCAACTTCGAGACGTGAGGCAAGGAAAGGTGGTAGCTGCCGAGGATGCCTCTCGGCGGAAACTGCTGACCGAGGCGACTTTGTGAAGGATTTTCCCTATCTACCCCTAAAACCCGAAACCCCAAACCCTACTTTCCCAGAAGTGTTTTACTTAAGGGTCCGGGGAGCAAGGGGTCCTTTCCGGCTTCTGTAAGAGTTCCACCAGTGTTTCTATATTAAGTCTTAATGAGTAGGATTACCTATAGTCTCCATTGTAGTTCCTCTTCTTGGTTTAACCTAAGTTTGCATTAAGGATCCCAAAAGGTAATCCCAAAAAGGAGCTACCATGGAGACTATATAGATTAGATATACGCACGGCATGGCTTAAGGCTCAAGGGTCTGGGAATTTGAATCTAATTTAGCAGGGTTTAGGGTTTAGGGTTTGGTAAAAAGGTACCGGAGGTGAGCAGGCGAGCCACAAGACCCCAATGTCGACGCGAGCAAATCCTTCAAACAACTTTTGGTTTGGTAAAGCCAGCACGACTTTGACTTTAGGATTTCGGGTTTGGGCTCACACGAGAGTTTGCAGGTAAACTTTCCGAGAGGCCCAGCCACTTCAGTCGCTGGGTGGATAGTCATACAGAGCTTCATACTAGCGTCCCCGGACAGTACCGTCTGATATCCATTTACCCGTTTATGTTGGTGTTGCCTTAGTAGATCTGAATACTCGGTAGGAGGCGCCATTGAACTCTGTATTTGGGGTAGCTGGACGTCTGGGGGGGTTTTATGGCCCAAGAACCCAGAGAGCCCAATACCCCTGAAATAAGGAATATACCTTAAATTATAGGGGCCTTGATATTATTATGATTTAAGGTATATTCCTTAATTAAGGAGTATTGGGCTCTCTGGGAAGCCCTTGAGGAGAGTGCGGCGGAGTTGCCGGCGGCACCCTCCTGCTGCACACTGGAGCTTACCGGCCATCTCTTCGACTCCCGCCTCATAAACAAGGCACCTCCATCCGCTCAGTAGCATGTATACAGCTGTATACATATACATCTATATATATATATATATATACATATAACCCCTGCAAGGCCAATGGATATATATATATATATATATATGTAAATGCTCCATGAGGCTATGCTCACAAGTTCTAGATCTTTTTCTGGCAACATCGGGCATGGCTTTAGCTTTTGCCCGGATCAGCTCCTCGGAGCTGCTATGGACCCTGTAAGCCCAAAAAGCCTTCAAAGTGACACTATAAAACCATAAACCCTAAGCCGCTATGATGTGCAATCGCATGGCTTGGGACTTCCGGCAGGTTGCAGATCTGTGCGAGCAAGGGCGCGCACGCGCTTCGGCTATCGCACTCTCTGTCGGGGGACCGGCTGTGTAGCTTATAAGGTTCCGTTAAGGGTTCTTTAAAGGTTACTATACCCATAGGTCCTAAAGTAGTTCCTTTTTGGGGTTCATATATAGAATCTTATAAGGTAACCCCAAAAAGGAACTACTATGGGGCCTATGGGGATAAGGGTGGGGTTTAGGGTTCAGGAATTTAAGCTTTTCCATCACAGGGATCTAAAGTAGACACTCTGATTTCCTCGGTATGGCAAGGCCAATTGCTTATACGTAATTAAAGAATACTATACCCAAAACCCTCTTCTTATATAGAACCCTTATAGAACCCATTAACGGAACTTTTATAGAACCCTTTAGAAGAAGCCCCCCCAACAAAAACCTATCCTAACTATATTAAGGCCCCTACATGAACTCCAGAAATCAGGGCCCTAAACCCTTAACCCTAAACCCTAGCCTTAAAGAGCTCAAGACATCAGGGCCGTAAACCCTAAACCCTATCCTTAAACAACTCAAGACATCAGGGCCCTTAACCCTATAAATCCTATCCTTGAGCAACTCAAGACATCAGGGCCCTTAACCCTAAACCCTATCCTTGAACAACTCAAGACATCAGGGCCCTTAACCCTATAAATCCTATCCTTGAACAACTCAAGACATCAGGGCCCTTAACCCTAAACCCTATCCTCGAACACCTCAAGACATCAGGGCCCTTAACCCTATAAATCCTATCCTTGAACAACTCAAGACATCAGGGCCCTTAACCCTAAACCCTATCCTTGAACAACTCAAGACATCAGGGCCCTTAACCCTATAAATCCTATCCTTGAACAACTCAAGACATCAGGGCCCTTAACCCTAAACCCTATCCTTAAACAACTCAATAGTCCCTAAACCCTAAAGCCTAAACCCTAAACCCTAAACCCTTAGAAATCAGGGTTTCTACTTTTTGAGGCCCAGGGGTTTGGGCTTCTTTGTATTAGCCGGGCCCAGGCTTGGAAGCCGTAGGATTTAGGGTTTTAGGGTTTAGGGTTAAGGGATGTAGGGTTTAGGATTTGGGGTTAAGGGATGTAGGGTTTAGGATTTTGGGTTAAGGGATGTAGGGATTTCTTTTAGGAATTAGGGTTAAGGGATGTAGGGATTTTTTTTAGGAATTAGGGATTATAGGGATTTAGGAATTAGGGGTTGAGGGTTTAGGGATTTAGGGATTTAGGATTCGGGTTTAGGGGTGTTCCCTCACTGAAGCAACGAGGTATGCACATCCTCTTGCTGGACGTTGGCCGGTCCGTTCGCGACGAGAGCTTTCTGTCCGTCATGGTCATGGCCCACTCCGACTCTTCTTTGCCATATGGGTAGTTCTCCAAATTAGGGCCCCTTTGTTGGGTCCCCAATATAGTACGGCACCCTTTTAAAACAAGACCCCCAAAGGGACCCTAATTTAAAGGACTACCCATATATACCGTAACTAAACCACCAAAAGTAGGTAGAAGAATGGCCCAAAGCCTATACAGGGCTATTATTCTACACCAGGTAATAGTCACTGTCCCTCCATGGACCCACATAGCATAGACTTAGCCTTAAGGGGTTCCTTTGCTTGAACTTCCGGGCTGAAGTAGACTCTCTATGCCGGTTTAGGGGTTTGGGTTTAGGGCTTAGGGACTATAGGTGCGCTTACGAGGTAGCAACCTCGCGGACGCTGCACGTAGCTTCGCGGTTATAATCATCTCCTGAAGTATGCATACTCCTCAGATACTGTATTATGAACCTTAGCGGATCTGGTAGGCTCGGGGTTCTTCCGAAGGTGGTGGCTCACATTACGTATGCCCCATGCATCACCCTCCCACTTCCGGCGGCTGTCTCTGGCCTGTTTGTGCTACTGATCTTATACGAACCCTGAAGCCAATCACAGATATGAGTTTCTTGGAGGGGTACTTTCAAAACCAGGGCGGAAGATGAGGTTGTGGACCGGGGAGGGAGGTGGGACAGTGCATTGTCGCTCTCAGGACAAGATCCTGGAGGCCGTGACACATAAGATCCAGGCGCGAGGGAGGTCGACCTGATGCAGAAACCTAAACTGTACGAAGGCAATAAGACTTTACAGCTCCTGGAGCCCTGGAGCAGTCTCGATCGGCTGATTCCATGTCGACTCCATGTTCAGCACTGAGCACTATACAGCCTTGATCAAGACCCTGGCAACGATATAGGTGCCAAACAAAACCTATACTTTTTTGGGGGGGTCCTCGTTATACTTATAGTATACTGCGCCCCAAAACCCCTATTATAGATGTTCAAGGCCCCTACATTACCCGTCGCACAATGAAAATCATAGCAGGCAGTAGTGGCAATGTTCTTCTCCGGACGATCCTTCTAGGGCCTGAATAATTACCAATACTATTTTGGGGTTCCTATCAGTAATCCTATACATCCGAGCCTATGTGCGACCGTATGTTACAACCTGCATTACACCCTGTACCTGTATGCATGTTTACACACACGCACATATATATATATATATATACATACATATAAGGCGTGCTAGCAAATATGTATAAGTATATATTGTTCACAAGCTTGTTGCTCATTTATCTTTTACTTGCGGTCCATGTTCATGTATCTGGAATTGTCCAGAGTAGCAAGCTACACGTGAAACAAACCCTGTATTTTATCGTCAAGGCTCATTTCAGCCTACGTCCCTTGAATTCTTATAGACCCTACACCCAAACTCAACCTCCCTCAACCCTATACCCCTTAACCCTAAACCCTAAACCCTGAAAGCAGTCGTAAACCCTTCACCGTATCTCCTCCTTGTCTAGGCCGCTGCTGCAGAAGCGTCCGTGAACTTCCGCCGAGCGGGGCGCAGTGGGACGACCGAGTCACCAACCAAGGCCTCCTGGTTGGGGTTTGAGGTCGTTTTGTGGAAGAACTTTGCTACTATATGGTTTGATGGCCGCCTCATATGACGTGGGGTAGGAAAGCAAGAAGGCAAGCTCTCCATAGGCTTTCACCGCTGATCGCCATCGTACCATGCACTCGTCTCGACCTTGACGCAAGATAGCGCGCTATTCCGCGGCAAACCCTATATGGGTGGTTGTCAAAATTACGGTCCCTTTTGGGTCCTTATTATAATACGGCACCTATTATTTAGGGTACCCCAAAAGGGACCATAATTTTGACAACTACCCGTATGATAAGCCTTGTACGCTCTTTGGTTCGCACCTGCTCAGGTGGAGAAGAGCCCCGGTGGGAAGTTTGGAAACGTTTCTGTGGGGGATACCTTAACCTACCAAAACCTACTTTTTTGTAGGTTCCTATTATAAACCCTAATATGGAATTCATAGGGACCCTACAAAAAAGTAGGTTTTGGTAGGTTAAGATGGTAATCGGATGTTGGTTGCTTTCAGGGTTCCGTTCAGGGATCTTTGGGGGTTCTATACTGAGACCTATCGAAGTCGTAGAGTCATAATCTAGAGGCAGCTTAGCGATTTGGTATAGGGTTTTGCTGTTATTCTTTGTGGCGTAATCAGAGTAAGAGTAGATGCAGTGGAGTTTGCGCATTCACGCATTGTCGAATCGTGCAATCACATGCCCTAGGAAGCAGCGGATGATGGCCTTGTAGGGTAAAAACCTGGCATCGTATAAGTACAGCGGCACGATGCTCTTTCTGCAGCTGCAGCTGGCAAAGCTTAAACGAGAAAGCTTGGGAAAAATCTGTCATTTCTGTTATAAGCAGGTATCACTAGGGCATGCAGATATGTACATATGCATACGTACATGATTCATGTAACATTGTATATATATATATGTATGTATGTATATATGTATATATGTATATATATATATATATGTCCATGCCAGGGTCCATGCATGTAAATGTTAGCAGCAGGAGTCAACGCGAAGTCTTCTGCTTGAACTGGCTTCGACTCGACCAGGGTAGCCCCCAGGAAATCTCAAAGTCCAGCAGCTTTTCAACCGAAGATCCCGTAGAATGCCACGATCAAGCTACACTGAAAAGACTGAGCACCGAAATGAAAGATCGGGCAAAGACACAGGACATCACGGGAGCCAGGAGTGAGGGAATCAGAGGAGCTAGTCAGCCCGGTCTTTGTGAGACTCTCATTAAGTTTAGGTCCTTTAGGGGACTGTCGATTTTGAGTGCTCGCCAGCAGACGTGTGTTGCCTTGCATGCGTGACCAAGCCCAAGCATGGGAACCAAAACGCCAGGAACCCATCGCAGCACACGTCGTCTTCAAGCCCCAGCCATGAACTGCCGGAGACTTTTCAACCCTAAACCCAGAGAGCCCCATACACCTTCATTGAGGAATATATTTTAAATCATGTAATATTAAGGCACCACATTATTCAAGGTATATTCCTTATTTAAGGGGTCTTGGGCTCTCTGGGAACCTCCTTGCAGACCCTTAACCCCAGGAGGGTCTCAAACCCTTACCCATAGGCCCCAAAGTAGTTCCTTTTTGGGGGCTACCTTATAGCATTCTATATATGAACCCCAAAAAGGAACTACTATGGGGCCTATGGGTAACCCCAGGAAGGTCCTGCTCCTGGGCGCCGGCCACGTCGCTTCTCCCTTTGTCGAAAGGTGGCTGCTGCAAGTTATCCAGGATTCGTGGGGAGGGTTGCGGGTGTGAGGATGATTGAGACTGTAGGTTTCGGACGTAGGGTTAAGGATATCGGGCCCATGTCGCTATGTCAGTTCTGGTGGTGTTGGTGGTGGTGGTGGTGGTGGTGGTGGTGGTGGTGGCGGCGGTGGCGGTGGCGTTGGTGGCGGTGGTGGGGCTGGTCGTGCTGATAGAGACGGAGACATGACGGCATTTGCCGTTCTTAACTTGTGTTCGCTCCGTCGCCGTGCTTCTTCCTTGCCAATCTTATGGTTGCGCCTTAGAGCACGCGTTTTCGTAGAGGCTCTTGCGACGCCCAAACGTGGCACTGGTGGCGGCTCCTCTGCATTAGGTGTTTCGTGGAGCGCGGACCCAAACCGAGAGCATTGAGCCCTCCACGACCCTTGCAGAATCCTCACAGAAAACTCCCTGTCAGAAAGCAAGGGGGCACTCGTTTTAGGTGGCCCTAAACCCTGAACCCTTAAACCCTAAACCCCTAGACCCCCAAGCCCTAAAGCCCTGAGCCCCTGAACCCGGAAACTTAGGTGGCCAGCTACCTCAAGAGCGACTTCGATCCTCTGAGTCAGATCCCAGGTGCAGTTGTTCAGGGCTAGGCAGTATAGGAGTCGACTATAAAGGCCTTCATAATGAGACTAGGGTTTTGGGTTCCTTTGGGTTCGTTAAAGGGTTCTATAAGGGCTACTACAAGGGTTTAGGGTTTAGGGGCCTTAATAGTTAGAATAGGGTTTCGGGGCCCATTCTACCATAATTTACAATAAAAGGAACCCCCCAAAATAGTAATTGGTAATTCTTTAGGCCTTACATTAGGACGTAGGGGTTCAGGGCTTCAGGTTTAGGTCCTGGCGTCTTAGGGCTGAGTTTGTTTAGGGTTTAGGGTAGCTTGGTGTTGGATGCTCACAATTTTCTGGGCGCATTGGCCGCTACCTTTCCCCATCACAGCCTCTCTACTGCTCAGAGTCATGTAGGTAAGGCCCCTTATAGTAGCCCTCACAGAACCCTTTAAGGAACCCTGTAAAGGAACCCCAAAACCCTAGTTCTCCAACTTCAGGTTCCTCTCAGGTCCCCAACATAACTTTTGTAAAGGACCCGTTCGAAGGGACCCTAATTTAGAGAACTTCCCATGCGTCAAGCGAAGTGGGACATCCTGTTTCAAGCTTCGCCCAGCGTCCCGCACACAAAAACCAGCCCCAGCCCCTGAACCCAAACCCCTATATGTAAAGAGAGAGAGAGAGAGCGAGAGACAGAGAGAGAGAGAGAGAGATATATAAATATAGATAGAGAGAGAGAGAGAGAGAGATATATATATATATATAGTCTACATACCTACCCCAAGCCTTATGCAGAATACTTTGTCAGGGGCCATCGCATCCCAGTCAAGTTTAGGATGCAGGCTGCCCCAAGCCTGGTTGGGGTGGAAGACAGGATGGATCTGGAATCTACAAGCCGCGGCTCTGAACACTTTGCTATACTTGTAGCGTGCGATGATAGGGCTTATTGTTTTGTTGCTTTAGTATTGTTGTACTTATTGCAATTTAATTGCTCGCTAATTATTGTGAAAAGCTAGGACAGAGACCCTCACCAGGTGCATCGACGCGCTTGCAGTCTGAGGCAGCTCACTTTGACGAGGATTTTCTCTGGTAGGGGGCATGCCGTAGTAAGGTGGATTGTCTGTGACAGTTTGGGGATTGAGGTTCTTTTGTCGTAGCTGCAGGTATTCTATAGGTTGCCCATGCTGTGACAGTTGCCTGAAGCCTGAAACTTTGACCCTCAAGACCTAGGCCGGAAACCTCCAAGGTGCTTGATGTGGCAGCCGCCAACGCAGGTGATGCGGCTGCTCAGTCCAAGCTCGATGGCCTTGTTGCAGGCTCCTTCCGTTCAGATTCATGTTTCTCATAGTTTCACAAACAGAACTGCTATCAGTACATATGTGTACATATGTATATTTGTATATACATTCACATTCATCTGCAGGTTATTATATATAAACACAGATATGTAAGGACCTATATTTATATATGTGCATGTACATGTACATGCATGCGTGTATGTTGCCTTTACACATGTTTTGATTGATGGGTTGATTTCTGGCAGTACAGCATCTCCTACCAGTAGCAGGAAAGAACTACTTCTACGGAACCTAGGCAGACATGATATTCTTCCTGCTGCGAAATTTTGCTGGCCGGCTTGCCCGTCTAACCCCAAAACCCCAACAGTCTTTAACCCAACAGCTCTTTTTTGTGGTGTCGGAGTTGTCTTCTTTCCTGTTGAATTGGCGCTTGAGGGCAGACACTCACTCACTCACTGCGCCCTCGAGATGCGTCCAAGCTCCACGACGTGAAAGCACAGCTCGGCCATTCTAAACACTTCGTGAACCACAGGCAGCCGTGGCACTATGGCACGCAAGGGCCGCGCCGGCGCTACACGGAACGACGAACGGTGGGCAAAGTTACCCAGCGCCGCTGGATCCAGCGCATTCGACAAATGCATCACTGCAAAAGCGAATGCCGCGCGAGACTAACTAGGGAAGCAACAAGCACAGCCACTAGGACTGAAAACTGCCAGTTGCTCGCTCAAAACGACGTGACTGTGTGCCTACGGCAGCACTCACTCAACTGAGGGGCCTGAGTGCAGACAAGTCGAAGTGTACAGATGGGAGTCTGAAGGGTCAGAACACGGAGTATTACAGTATTGTGTTGAGAAGGAACTCTAAGGAGCAGCAATACTAGTATCACTCCTCCAGAAAGTTTCTTAATTAACATCTGCTGTAGTATGGAACCACCGCGACACTCTTCCAATTGTTCGCACTACTGCTGCTCTCCGGCTTCGCGTTTGGCTGAACAGGGCTTGCCTGCCACTCGAACCTCCTAAACCGTAAACCCTAAACCCTAAACCCTTAAACCCTTAAACCCTAAACCCCCTAAACCCCTAAACCCCAAACCCTAAACCCTAAACCCCAAGCCCTAAACCCTAAACCCTAAGCTGTAACTTAGTA